GTCCTTCCTCCTCCTGAACCTTTAAGGCCCCACCGTCGCCCAAAGTCGACCCCCCCAAGCGAGCTGCGTCGATCGCGCTCTGGCTCCGCTTCAGCCACCATGTTTTCTGCCCCCGTATCGCCCGTTTCGTCCGCTGGGTCGACCTCCTTACGGCGCTTACCGGCGCCGCCTTCTCGCCTGCGAACGCTCCCACAGGTGCCGCCCATACGACATCGGCCGCGCTCCGGAAGGACTCGCGCGATGATCTGTCTGGGTGGCTCCTCATGGGCTCGCCCCATTCGAACGCCTCGGGATCACGTATCACAGTTATGGAGCTTCCGCCGCCGCCGTATAACTCGATAGACTTTGCTGTTCCCGAGGACGCTCCTCCTCCTGCTCATTCACTAAGACCGCTGCCTCCCGCTCCCACGTCGCGCCCGGTGCCGCAATCCTGTAATTCTTTCCGAACGGTTATGTCAAATGAAATTTTACGCTACTTTTAATGCTTAGTTTAGTGCTGTTTCTCGGGATATAGGGCAGCGATATGTTGTAAATTTGTTTTTTAGTTACCCACCCATTACTCTCAGATGCTGTTGCTGTTTACTGTACATACAAAGCGAGTTATACGAGAATGCTGTGTTGATGGACTGTTTTGATATCAAGAAGTCAAGTGATGATTCTGTCGGAGCAAAGATACACAGTGTTCAGAAATGGAGAGGTCAACAGCGTTGTAATGTTATAGTGTCCCGAAGAGAAGAACAAGTGCGCAACTACATACTACAGGAAATGATGAATGGCGTAATACGTACAGTAAAATGAGAGTTAAATGTGTCCACTGCAGCTGTCCGTGTCCTGTAAGATTAGACGTCTTGACGTGTTCGTACTCCAGACGGGTCTCCACCCTGCACAGAGTCGTCCAATCTGAAATGATGCATCTGCGCACCATGGCCACCAGAGTGCGACGCGTGGCGCAGCGAAGCCGAGCTCCCATCCGACCTCTGCACAAACTCCGGATCCCCCGTCGGGGGTGCCGCGTTACTGCTCTCTGCAATCCACCACAGGACTCTGCTCATCGGCGGTGGGTAGTAATTCGGCGGAGGGCGATTCATCATTCTCGCCTCTGTTTGAGATTTCACGTGAGATCGAGTACATAGGAACAGGGTGTATACTACATACCCATAATCTGCTGTCTGCGACGCGCTGTCTCTTTGCGATTCCGGTGCACGATGAAGAAGAGAAGGACGGCGACGAATAAGGCACCGAGGACGATGCCCCCGACGAGGGCTCCTGCTATGGAGGCGGCATTTGAGCTGTTGTTGACGACATGCACAGTGACAGTAGCGCGTGGACCAGTTGCTGTGCCAGTCCCAGTGTCCGAGCCAGATACCGTGCTAAATATAGTAGATGTGCCAATGACTTCTGAGTTTGGCTGGTAAAGTACAGCATATGAGATTAACAGTAATATCGTACCGGGAGAAGAGGAAAGTCCAACATTTGTAGGCGTAACAACAGCATTTGTTGTGCTTGTCGCAAGGGGTGTGGACGAAGCCGTCGTTTGAGTGGTAATCGACATCGAATTGGATAAATCTACACTGCCGCCATCTCAGTGAGCGACTGCAGACAGCGTTGAAAGGTTAGACGTACATCGCCTAGGTATATTCGCGCCCGCGTGAATCAACTTGAAAAGATAAGGTCAGGAAAGAGGTGAAGAGAGAGAGCCCGGCGACAGATGGCCGCTGGGAACGCCCAGCACGAGTGCAGGGTATCATGACGAGTGACGAGAGGCTGATCAACAGATACGGTTGTTGCTTTCCGTCATGTGTTTGAGGTATACTTGCCACTGTTGGACAGTGTATTCGCTTGCTAGGGCCAACCTCCAGAGCTGCCGGACGTTGAGTGGCTGAAACAGGCGGGATGGGACCAAATCGGAACAAAAAGGGCGGCCTCCGAACTTAATGCTTCGGACGCCCGATCGTTCTCGAGCGCTCTCGTCTTGTTGATTGAGTTGGTTTTAGTCCTGATCCTGAACATCCCTCTCCTCGCAAGTTTGTACGCTCAGAGTCGAGGGGGGCCATCTCTGCATTCTGAATCACCAAATCATTTAGCTGGCAACTATATCATGTTTCTGGATTGCATTTTCTAAAGCATGGACAATGGCGGTTTCGCGTGCATTGTCCTGTCCACTCGTGAGGTCTGAAAGATCTAATACTTAACTGAGGAACGTGCGTGATATCGAGGGCTGACTTTTTGCGAATCCCTTTACGAAGGGAACAAGCCATGCTACCGCTTTTTGAAGCTTGGACGTACTTCCCGTTCAACCTGGGAAGCGTCTAATAGCTGACGGGCCCCATTATTATTAGATGAAGCATTCAATCAATCATCGGCGCCCTCCAAGGTGGGTCGCGTACTTTAGTCACTGTAAAGCTTCCGCCGGGTGGATATACCCCAATATGGGATCGGAATGGAGTGGGTCAGATCCGTTTTGGAGAGAAGTTTTCACGTCCGAGGGCTTCATTGCGCGGTACATTGAAGTGGAATATGGGTGCTTTGAGGCTGGATATGACAGAGGAAGAGTTGTAGAAGCAAGAGCTCAATAGCGGCAAACCGTCCCGTTTATCCGGAAGGAGGTTGAGAGCCGACGCGTCGCACCTGTAGTTTGACCGTTCGTCTTTATAATACTCATGATCCCTTGACCTCCGTCTCTCACTCGTTTCTCGATACCCCGTCTGACCATGGCAGATACGCGTCCTTCGTCGCCGAGCAAAGATGTGCTCGTTGCGAGCCCAATAGGAGCACCTTTAGGTCCATCCTCATCGTCGCGACGTGCACCTTGGGCATGATAGTCAATGTGGGTCGATTCCAATAAATGTTTACGCCACGATGACGAGTCTGGCGGGATAGATGGCGCTTACGTCGGCGGCTTCGATACCACTTCCAACGATTGCAGAGGAATTCGATGTTCCAGACTCCCAGCTAACGTGGATAGTCTCGGCATACCCTCTCAGTTCTGTTCGTGCCCTTCTCGTCATTCTACTCCGCGCTTAACGCTATTCTTTAGGGATGCCTTCTACTTATCTTCGGCCGCCTCGCCGATCTCTACGGGCGGAAGAAAATGTTCTTGGCGGGAATGGCGTGGCTCACGATATTCTCGTTGGGCGTTGCTTTCGCGAATAGTACGTGCTTTCTAGCCTTGAGTATGGCCCAAATTTTATACGCCTCCAGATGATATCACACTTGACATCCTTCGGGGACTCCAGGGCGTTGGTGCCGCCGCGCAAGTGCCAGCAGCTGTAAGCACCCCCAAATGCTCTGATTACTCGGATAAATTGATAACGGGTCCCGTGCTTTTAGTTGGGTATCCTCGCACACGCCTTCCCACCCTCAAAAGCGCGATCGTTCGCATTTGCTACCTTTGCGGCTGGGGCTCCCCTCGGAGGTGCCTGTGGTCTCGTTTTCAGCGGCATCTTGACACAGCTGACAGTGTATGTGCATCCCGCATCTGTCTCCCTTTCGTACACTGATTGTTCTTCAGGAAGACGTGGAGGTCGACGTTCTATCTCATCACGGTAAGAAACGTGCTGTCTATTTCCGTGTCAGAGGATGTCGACATCTCTATAGGGATTGGGCGCCGTGTGCGTTGTAGCGGGATTCTTTGCTATTGATCCAGACCTTCCCTCCACCGAAATAGACCAACGTGTTGATTGGATTGGCGCCACTCTCGTTACCGCGGGTCTCGTGCTCATCGTATTTGTGCTGACGCAGGGAGAGATTGCACCTCAACAATGGAAAACCCCGTGTAAGCCGTTATGACAGCCTTTGACGTCCGACTCATTCTACTCGGTTTGTACAGATATCATTGCGCTTCTGATAGTTGGCGTCTTTCTTGTCGGGCTATTTTTGGTCTGGCAGCACTATCTGGAAAAGGTGAATGATGACCCTCTCGCCGTTCGTTCGAAATGGACGCCACCTCCCATCATGCGTCTTTCGCTGTGGGGACGGGCGAACGGGCGCGTCGCTGTTGTGATGGCCGTCGCATTCCTCAACTTTTGTTGTTTCCAGTCATGGTGTTATTGGTCACAGGTGTGTCCTTTGCTCTTCATTCTGCGCTACAGCTTCTTAAATGCTTTTCAGTTGTATTACCAGAACTACGAAGGTCGGACGCCTATTCTGACCATTATACGGTTACTGCCAATGAACGTATCTGGTGTCATCTGCAATATCATTGTTGCCAACGCCGTTGGTCGACTACCATTCATCTGCTTCATGGGTTTGTACAATGTCTTCCAATTGAGACGTACTGCTAACCCTATATTCATGCAGTATCCGGAACGGCCTTGACCAGCGTCGCCCCGCTTCTTTTTGCCTTTGTTAATTCTGATGCTGTATACTGGGCCTACGGATTTCCGGCTGCCTGTCTTGCAGTTGTTGGCGCGGACTTTGTCTTTGCAGCCGGTACCCTTTTCTGCGCCAAGGTCGCGCTTCCTCATGAACAGAGTCTAGCGGGAGCTCTATTCCAGACAATGACCCAAGTATGTCTTGCACACCAACTGTCGTACCGTGTTATTGACCTTGATATGACAGCTTGGAACTTCTTTCGGTTTAACGATATCCACCATTGTGTATGACCGCGTCCTGGCTCAGCGCTCCGCAGCTTTAGGCGTCATCGTCGATTCTTCTGGCGCTGGCGCACCTAGGTCAGCGCTGCTCGACAGCTTTCATGCTGCTGAATGGAGTAACTTTGCGTTTGGCGCGTTTGCTGCCATTTTGAGTTTCGTCGCCTTCCAAAACGTTGGCATTGTCGGACACTCGGATGCTGATTCAGAGCGAACGGCGACCAGTGCCGAAGAGGAACGAACCGTAGATGAGAAGGCGGTTGGGGGACCAAGCGCTGCTTGAGCCATAATTTATGACATTCTTTAGACAATCACTATACCGTACGCACAAGATGCACTACACTTAGTCATCTATAATTGCTAGGATGAGATTTCCGATCGACGACAAGGAATTGAAAATGGATGACATCCTTCTTAGCTCAGCTGGTAGAGCGCGTCACTAGTAATGACGAGGTCAGTCGTTCAAGTCGGCTAGAAGGAATCCGCACATCCTCATAACGTTTTCTACGTCTCTTGTTTTTGATCAATTTCTTCCAAGTCTCGAATTTCGACACTGGGCAGTGGGCATGCTTGTGTTCGACCTTCTCAAACAATTCTTAGTGCTCGTGTCACTTGAATCACAATAAATGAACGAAGGCAAGTATGAATTGAACCCCAAAACCCAGAATGAGAGAAAGTAATATCAAGTCTATCACTACACTCTCGCTGACCTAGCCAGACGCTCTACCTCGCGAGTTTCCCAACGCGTCCCCCGATAACCCTTGTAATTCGCCGCCCTCGATTTCCCCATATCGTTCCATGAATGAGAAGTTGTTGAACGCGGCCTCGCATCTGAATCATCCATCAACTCTGCCCACTGCGGTGTACCTCCAAAGCCTCTGGTCGACACGTCCTCGGGAGCAGCGGCTTCGGCGGCATGATTGTGACTCGCTGGTTGCGGACCGGCAGCATTGTAGTCTGGCGCGCGAAGCTGGCGTTTCGATGGGACCGAGGGCGGTGCTGGCGGCGCGTTAGGAGCAGCTGGCGCGTTAGGAGCGGTTGGCGGCGCAGGAGCAGCTGGCGGTTGAGGTGTAGTAGGTAATTCAGGAAGGGTGGGCATCGCTGGCACTCCTGCTGGGGCGGCAGGCGCTTCTGGAGCGGCTGGTGCTGCTGGAACGCCTTGTCGACGAGAAACGCCTTGCGGTGCCGCGTTTGGAGCGGCAGGTGGAGCAGGAACGGTAGCGGGCGCGGCTGGCGCGGCGGGAGCGTCTGGCGCAGTGACAGGCAGGGCCGGAAGCTCTGGTGCAGACGGCATGGCGGGAACAGACGGGGTATCGGCACGACGGCTGGGAGCGGCGTCGAGAATGGCGCGTCGAATGTCATGGATCTGGCGTTCGGAAAGGGTAGGTATAGCGCGTCTGTGGTTCGACGACGTAGACTGGGACTGGGGATCTGAGGGTATAGAAGGTGCTGACGCGCCCTGAGGAGCAGCAGGGAACATAATCTTCGCAAGCTCCTCGAGCTGGCGTGGCGCGGCGGGATCGTGGGCAGCACTGTTGGTGACTGGGACAGGCATACTTTCGAGCTGGCCGACCGGTGCAGCGCCGACCGCAGACAAGAGTAGAAGCGGCATCCAACATAAGGGCTGCATAATGGCGGGATAGATTGTGTGTAGGTGGTTCCTCGAGGATGGGAGGAGCGAGATTGTAGGGAAAGGAAGATCCTATCGTTCCATTCATTCTCGCGCTATTTAACCCAGTCAGATTTTCACATGCATGTATCTGCGTGCTTCTTTTTGTTTTTGGGGAAGCATGACGTACAACCGCGTCAAGACGCGTCTTACGTGGCGCACTTGTTCTCGGCGCGATTCCCTGCCGGGGCAATCGCACGCGTATCAGGATTTCTTTCAATAGGACAGGCGACTTTTCACTTACGCGAAATGGCAGCAAACGTCGAGCGTCGCCGCGGCGGTGGTACCGACAAATTTCAAGCTTGGAATCGCGCCTGACGCGTCGTACACATCAAAAGCACTAGCATGGATTTTGGGTGATTCACGATATACATTCGTTGACCTCCGAGGTAGGCACTCCTGAAATGTTGCATGAAAGTCAAAGAGAAGAAGGATCGGACGCGCCGCCCCGCATCTTCTGTCATTTTCAAAGGCCGTAATTTCTAGTTCAACACTTGGTAGGAACAAATACAATAATGCACATATGAAAAGGTTCATCGTCTATGAGTACAATGTTTTCGGACGATGTACCAACGAGTGCTGACGGCCACGACTACTTACTACTCGTCAGTTTCCGTGTCGGTCATTTCGGCCTCATTCAACCGGGAAAAGTTGATATCCAGACACACAACCCCTTACGCCAACTCGATGGAATGTTGATTACCCTAAAACATGAATCTTGTCTTGACCGCGGTGTATTTCCGGCTGGCGGCGACCCAAAGAACGTCGGCATCAGTAATCTCTCACCATCCAGACGCCCGTTCAATGAAGGCGCCGTCATCCGAGTATTCATCACCATCATCACCATAGATGGGAGTTGACCTTAGCGAGGTCTTTCCATCCGGGGTAGTGTAATAAATGTTTAGGTCAACTTTGAGCCCAAGTTCTCGACATGCGCTATGTAATGGTATAGGGTAAAGCCATTGGGCAGGAAGGTAGTATCATTCAAGAGCTGTTGAAGACCATCTTTGATCGTGTGGTCCTCGCCCTGTGAGGTGAAGATGGGGGCTACAACACTGTCCAACTCATCAAAGTAGAGATTATACATCAGGGTAACGCGCGATCCGGATACGACAGGCATTACTTCGTGTTCTATAGAAGGCGACATATGCAACCTTGGGAGCTTCAGACGTGACGGAAGCGAGCAGGTGAGACCATTCAAGGTCTTCATTACGGAGCACCAATGTTCCTCCTTCGTAAGGTATAGGAAAGACAATTACTAGGGAGCCAAACATGTTTTTGGCACAAGGACTGTCCCAATGAGGTTTGAAGAAACCGCCTTTGTCTGGAGTCACCAAGATCTTGAGAGATCTTATTCAAAATTGGTGTACTCGCCAAGTCAAAGGTCATATCGAACTGCAACACATTGAGTTCATGAGCTTTACAGTATGTGGTGTCCATAACCGTCTCCGTTCCACAACCGAAAGGTGCGGCATTACAAGAAGAGATGAGATGTGACAACTCATCATCCGTAGCTGAAGCTAGGTTAAGATAGCTGTTGATACTATTCAGAGGCAAACAGCATGGATTAAGAGACACACTTACAAAATGGACTTGTTGACATTTGAACAGGTACAGTAGTACAGATCACATTGCTCTGTGTTGGTTTAGATACCACTGGTGTATGACTCTTTTGTTAGAGCAGAACAGATTTGCACAAAGGCTGGGTGAGACATAATGGCCAGGTTGTAACAATAGGCTCGTCCCAAAGATCTTATAAGCTCTGGTTTCTGAAACCTCAAGAATAGCAAGTTATTGATCCCCCACACGTGATAGAGCAAAGTAGTGGTTAACGTCAAAAAAAATGAGCAAGTGCTGCAGGATCTAGAGATACATTCCAACAGCACGCGCCTGTGAGGCGCATCATCAGAAGTTGAAAGAAAGAGTCAGAAGGTTTAAAATTTTGTTGCTGGCTGATAGAAAGCTCCATTCTATTAAATTATTGTAAGTCATAATGATTCAGGCTAGAGATGGACATGAGCCTATACTTGAGTATATTCATATTTATCTTGTGAATAACTCTTGCCCAAAAACCAGTATTCATAACTCTAGACTCTACTCTTATATATTCACAAGTCTAGAGTATACAAATACTCAAGTATAGTGCAAGTATACTTAAGTATATTCACCATTTTATGCAGAAAGCTGACTTATTTAAGGTAGAAAGTATAATATTTAGAAGTATTTATGTTAGTAAGAACTCTTGTTAGCTAAAGGTAAAGGTAAAGCAGATGTATATTACTAGATTTAAAGTATTTGCAGAACTATTGCATAGAGATGCACTGATGAGGCTTGATAAGTATGAGTATTTGTGAATATTTATAACACCAAAGATAGATTCACTACTCACTGAATACTCTAGACTCTACTTCATGCACAAATATACTCTATATTCACGAGATGAGTACACATTTATTCATATGTATGTTTTATATTCTATACTTGTGTTCATCTCTAATTCAGGCTTTAAGACTGCATGATACAATTTCCTGAGGTGAGCCAAAAAGTCAAAGAGAACTTAAGAATCCCCAGATACTGAAGGCCAGAAGCAGATTTGTCGCCCTTGGGAAATCCTGTTTGACACGGTCTGATTATCCACCTTTTTAGTTTGACCTCTATCATCCAAGTCCTTTATATGCGTAGATTACACACTTTAGGCGTGCAATGGAGAGAACAAGGTGCTCCAAGAATTTCTAGGTGCAGTCAAAATGTGTACAGATGGCATAAAGTATAAATCCCTAGCTATATTACTAGGTCCTTCAAAACTCATGTGTAGTACTATATTCCTCTTAAAAAGATTATAGTTTCTCTCAAGGATCATTTCCCCCTACTCAGTGACAAAAGGCTTCCCCAAAGTTCTTCGTCAGATATTGATTGCATTGTCAGTAATTTGCAATGCCTTGTAACAGCTATGAAGATTCATTAAAATATCCTCATTCCTATTCACCATCTTTCTGACAACGTGTTGTCCCTAATATTTAGGATGTATTGTTTTAGTAATAATGACCATTTCATTTACTCTATTCAACACTAGGCAAAGGTCATGTTTATGTGTCAAAGGTGGTTTAATCTAATCACGGATAACAGTTTCCTGTGGTTGTTTATCAATGTTGACGGAGGCCACTACTATATTAATTGCATTAAGACACAGCTAACACACTCCAAGAACCATCTTTTGTCCATTCATCATATAGACACGCAAGTCCATATGCAGGAGCCGATCTCGTATTACCAGAAAGCTTTCTCGCAATCTCAAGCCTGAGACATCTTGCCTTAAAGGGTCTTCCTCAGCTTAGTGTTGCAAATGACTCAGCTTTGGAAACTTTGTGTTGTCAACAGCATCTACAGCAATATATTGGCAATACAGTCAATTATCCTCATATTTTGCAATCTGCAAGTTTGCGAATGGGGCACAATGTCCTGAAGTTTGGTCCACTCACTATTGCTAGCCATGCATACAGTAACAGCTATCTCAATGTCACTTTGTCTCTGTTGCGCTCCAACATGTTTGGTGGTGACATTGTACAATCAATGTTTAACGCCAACATATGTTCTTCCTGAGCCCACACAAAGTGCCCAGTGATCAGGTTTTAGCCCAAATACCAGCCAGATACAACTTTGTATCAGTCATCTGCTTGTTCTGAACTATTTACTGAGAACTCTTTTTCATCTGACACTGGTCTGCTGCCTCCACATGATGGCGGTCATTCAGGCTCAACACTTAATGAGCCAAACAGCACATTTAATGCTTGGGGCCAGACTTACGGTCAACTACCTTTGACAACAACTTTGTCGCAGGCTGCTGCTCAGGCATTGTGGCCATACCACAGCACTTTCAAAGGACATCATCTAAATTATGAAGGAATGAACTGCCCATAGTGAGGAATTGTTAAAGACTTGTACTCTGTTTGCGGAGCTGACCATTGTAGTACTGTACTAACGCAACCGTTAATTTACATAACACGTCACAGGGCCCCGTGAAGTGAACTAATTCGGCTTCCATAACGCGTAACAACGGTAAATTTTGTCGGGATCAGCCCAAATGCGGAAATTTTCGCCGCGGGCTCCCAATATGGTCTATGGACCCTGGATGAACTACTGGTAATTTAGTTCACAATCATAACACGTAACATGCCGTGAAGATCCGGTCGTGTTAGTACAGTAGACTCCTACCTCACTGAACTCTGAATGTTCAGTCTTGTGGACCAGCCTTCCAGATGTATCTTTTGATGATGCTAATACTGACACCCCCTCTCTGTAAGTTCACACTCTATAAAAAGTATGGTGCCTTACCCTTTGTTTGAATTATAGCCCTTACACACCCAAGCATTTGCCAGCTGCAGCTGGCCCAAACACTCTTGCAGGATCAATTGTTAAGTGGTCTCAGCATGTGTTTAACCAATCAATGATATTGTATTCCTGGGGCATCAATGGATCATTGTTGGCTTTAAATAGCCCGCGTTAAATTGTCTTGCAAACACTAAGCTTCTACAAGGCACCCACCCAGCTTCCAACCTATTCTTTCAGCTCCTCTGATCAATCTTGGTAACAGTTGCCATCATTTTGAACAGAAGCATTGTTATCACACTAATCCAGTGTTGTCGCAAGACACTCATCACTTCTATGTCAACTAAGAGGACACATATGACCAGTATTGTTGCGGGCATATAGCCTGTCCCGACAGGCCTTGCCAAATATGTGAAAAATGTCGGACAAGAGGGATTGAATGCACATATATGTTAGCGACTGACTTTAGCCACAAGACTAAACCAGGTACCACAGCAAGAACTAAAGAAGAAAGTATTTGCGTTCGTAAGACTAGGCTAGGTCAGGTGTATAAACGAGATCGGAACTAAAGTACAATGATGCTACACTACTGCTTATTACTAGTAAGTCTGTGTTTAGAACTCCTTGTCCATACGTGTTTCCGCTAGGGTTAACTCCACGCCCTTGACCCAGTGTTGTATGCTACTAGTCCGTGAAACCATTAAATACAAGTGGTAACTGCATGTAAGTAATAATACTGAAACAACCATGTGTGCTACAAGTGTTGGTGGTGTGTATACAATAGGGAGTTCATGAGGTATCGGCATGTATGATGTCATCCATGTGTTGGGCGTGTGTCCGACATGAGTACGGCTTTGGTAATGAAAAGGAGTATGACCGGTAACAAAACAGATGATGAAACAGTCCGTTGGTTGATAAGACAAGGCCCCAATAAGATATGATAAGATGTGAAAATGTGAAAATATGGCAATTTATAACAATATAATGGCTAGCAGAGTGCAAACAATCCATTAATTAATGACTACTCTCGCTTGTTTACTGATGTCGTCAGATATTCAAGTCCATGTCTATTTTACTTGCCTTATAACTTCTACATATATAATTGATTGGTCCTGGGAACAGTTCTTTCTGTGGGACAAACAAGAGCACATTCCTTGGTGCTAAAGCCAATTGTGGTGTCATAGGAGCCTCTCTGTCCATCACATTTCTTTGCCTTTTTCTGACAATCACACACTGCCCTCTTGTAAAGTCTCTATTCATACTGGTGGATCAACAGCCATTCTATTGTTATGGCTGCCCTGATATATGAGCCTGCACATTTATATTGTGCGTGAAGCAAGGCAGCCAAAGGTCTCCCTCAAAAGAATGGATATGGTGCGGACCTAGGTAAGGCACAGCCTCCTTGGCTCAGTTGGCTAGAGCGCCAGTCTCATACTCTGCGTATGACCGTCGATGAACGGGCAATCTGGAGGTCGCAAGTTCGAGCCTTGCAGGGGGCATATGCTTTTTGTGGATAAATCTCAAAACGTTTTCCAGCCTCGTTCTTTTGTGTTTGCTTGTGACGTCGCGACTACTCGACACCTACTCGAGCGAGTCGCTCTCAGCTGCGTGCGTGGTCCAACCATATACCCTCTCTTCAAATAGCTCAAACTACGAAAACTCCTCGCAGAAAGGCTCAATAACATTTGTAGTACAACATTGATGTACACTACAGGACGTCTCGCGTGCTCTGTTCATCTGTCAATTCACTTTGGAAGCGGTCCTGATTCAAACACTTAATTCACCGAGAAGTCAAACAGAAGTCGAGTTGCAAGCTCACCTGGGCAGGTTCCTTTGAACTCCTGCGCGCCCTCACGGACGATGACACCGTTTAACGCATCGCCTCGGACCCTCGCCCACGTATCCAAACTACCGATTGTATCGTCCGCGCAGAACGTCGCCCAGAAGTGAACGAGCGTGGCCGTGCCTTGACAGATGCTGATCAACCGGAGTTCTTCGATGTACGAATGGTACGAGGCAATCTTTCCTCCACTAGGATTGGGAAATTTGGCAGGGATTTGACTCGTGTACGCGATCATAGCCTCGCCGTCGTCTTTGAACACTCGCACAAGTTTTTCGTCAAATTTATAACCCTCGATGGCCCCGCTGCGGGTGGCACCTACGGTGTTGTCTTCGCCGTGGTTTGTACTGTTAACGATGCCCTGAAATGCGGGGAGTTAGTAATATGAGGAGAACGGCACGAAACTGTACTCACATACCACTCGGCGTGATGGAAAGATCCAGTAACGTTCTGCATTCTATCAAAGGGCACGGTGTATTGACCTTCCGTCACCACAACGCTAGGATAGTAGCCTTCGGGGCACTTTGGGTCGAAGCCCTTGCTAAGATGCTCGGAGTCTGCAAATGCGACCTTGCATCCAACGAGGAGACCGACGAGCAGGCAGGGCAGGCGATGGAACATTGCCGAGGATTGTTGACGATGAAAGCACACCCTGGTAGCCTTATATATTGTGCATAGTCGGACTTAGGATGCAGCCGAGCGCAATAGACACGTAGATGAGCCGATGGTTCTATCGCGCCCTTCCATGCTGACTTCAAACTGGGCTTCTCGCGTCGCTAATCCTGCTCAAGGCTATCGGTCATCCTTCTTGCCATTAGCTCGGCCGACTCGGAAGCAGGTAACACGCTTGACCCGAATTGACGATCAGAGTCTACATGTCCCTCAAACCAAGACATCAGTTGTAACGGTACTGAGTAGAAGATCTCCAGTGCAGTATGCACTCCATCAAGCTCCTGGTGTCCTGAGGATAGGAATATGAAAAGTTTGACCTGCGTGATCTTTGACCCCTGCCAATAATAGTGTGGCGTCGCACTATAATAAACATTAAGGCTGTATGAATTTGTCTCTCACTTCTAGTCCAAGTTCCAAGTGTCAACTAGTGACTTGGCTCTCCGGTCTCCAACTCGTTTCGTTCCCGAACGCCTGGACCTTTGAACTAAGAGAGATTGGAGATCGAGAACTGACAGCAACGAACATATGTACGACCGTTCATGAGAGAGGCATAATAGTCCATCAGACGTATATATGGCGCCGGGCGAAAGATGCAGATCAGCGAAGTGGACAGGAGGAAGTGCCGAAGATTCTTGCCGGCTCGCTTAGCGTAGCCTCGCTAGCGGTATTTGGTTAGGACCGAGCTTCTCAAGCTTTGTACAGAGTCCTGCTCAGTCATTTTAATATCAGGTTTGAGCTTGACTGACTCGGACACAACCTGGAAATAACATTTGATCCGAGAGGCTCGACACAATGTGGCGTTGCACAATAATAGATGTAAACAACGCGTAAACTAATCGTCCGACCTCGCTGAAGACATCGAACAAGTTCTGGATACGCTCCATGTTCCTCAAGTCGCTCCTCACACAACGGCCAGACATTATTATTTGAGAACGCCGAGCACTCAAAGATCTGCTTCCTGTGGGGGTGTGAGAAAGGCACCCGCCGAGATATGGCGCGCCCATGCTTACAGGCACAACAACTGTCAGTACAGTGCCAGGGTATGTTTACGAAGCGTCGAGCAAGCAGAACCATTGCGACGGTTGCATATCAATGTACAATACAGAGGACACCTTTCAAACATGATGCCTGTCCCGTTCAAATTCACTTCGGACTAAGCGGTCCTAGATCAAGACGCTCAATTTAGCGAGAAACCAGAGTGAGGTTGAAATGCAACTTACTCACGTGGACATGTCCCTTTGAACTGCTGCGCGCCCTCGCCGACGATGACGGCGTCCAGGGCAGAACCTCGTATCCTCACCCACGTATCCCAACTGCTGACTGCATCGTCCGCGAAATCCGCCACCCAGAAATGAACGAGGGTGTCAGCGCCTTGACAGATGCTGATCAATTGGAGCTCTTCAATATAGGAAGGGTACGAGACGAGCTTCCCTCCGCTGGGATTAGGGAACTTGACAGGAATTCGAGTCACATAGGCAATCATAGCCTCGGCGTCGTCCTTGAACACTCGCACGAGTTGTTCCTCAAATACAGCACCTCCGAGGAGCCCGCTGTGAGTGGCACCCACGGTGTTGTCTTCACCTTGGTTTGTAGTATTGGTCTGAGTCTGAAGAAATCATTTATTGACGGAGCAGGACGAGAAAGGCAGTGCACTCACATACCACTCAGCGTGGAAGAAGGACCCTGTAAGGTTGTACATCCTCTCAAACGGGACCGTATATTGACCTTCTGTCACGACGATACCCGGATAGTAACCTTCAGTACACTTTGGGTCAAAGTCGTCGTCGTCTGCCCTTGCGATTACAGCCGTACATCCAAGAAGGATGCCGACGAGTGAACAAAGCTGAGGGTGGAACATCTCTGGAGGGATCGTTTGCAAGGGAAGCGCAATGCTGATAAGCTGTTTATGTGGCGCAGCTCAGGAGAGCACGAGGTGGGTGAGTACGAGGTGGCGCCGAGGGCTCCGTCACCCTAGGACCGTCTTCTATACATCACGCGGTCCGATTCAACCGACTACAAATTCTCCCTGGCATTCGACGTACATTCTGTTTACAAAACATTCAAATGAGAAACGTGCCCCTCCTCGTAGGTCGACTAACTTGGTCCTGCGTGTGATTGCTCAGGTTAGCTGGGATGGAGGTAGACATAAAAGCTCACCCTGTAGACACGTTCCTGCGTTCTCGCCGACTACGACGGCGTTCAGGACAGAGCGCCAATACCTGGTCCATTCATCCCAACTGCTCGCTACATCGTCCGCGCAATATGTAGTGAACATATGAACGAGGGTGGCAGTGCCCTCACAAATGCTAATTAATCGAAATTCTTCAAGGCACGAGTGGTACGTGGAAACCTTCCTCCACTGGAATTAGGGAACTGGAGAGGCACTTGATTCACGTAGCCAATCAAGGACTCCGAGCTATCCTTGTAGGCTCGGACAAGTGTTTCATTGAACGCGAAACCCTCTGTGTTTCCTTGCCGAGTGGCACCTACGGTGTTGTCTTCACCTTGGTTCGTGCTATTGGTCTGAGTCTGTGATGCAGATAGTTAGTTATGCGACGAGAGAGGACGTCGTGGCAAAGTACACGTACATACCACTCAGCGTGGTGGAAGGACCCGGTAAGGTTATACATCCTCTCGAACGGTACGGTGTATTGGCCTTCTGTCACCACAATGCCCGGATAGTAGCCTGCAGGACATTTTGGGTCCAAGTGCTGGTCGGAGCAGGCAAGTGCGACCTTGCATCTAAGAGTAAGAAGGATACCAACAAGTAGGAGCAGGCAATGGAGCATTTCTGCGGATCGCTGGCAAGAGAAGCGCAGTCTAAGTCGAAGGCTTGTGTATCACGCGAGGTGGTGAAAGATGCAATCAAGCAGAGTGGTTCTGACGATTCTATGAATCTTGGGACTATCCTGTATACTTAACGCGTTGGAGCTCCGCTGATTACAGTCTTCTTGAGACTCGACGTATGATACAAAACAATCAAACGTGAAACGATATCTCCTCGTTCATCAAGGTAGTGCTAAATGTGAATGGTCAGGCTCACTTAGAATGACGTCGACACACATACTCACCCTGTGGACACGTTCCTTTGAAGTCCTGCCCGCCCTCGCCAACTATAATGGCGTCTACCACGACGATACCTGTCCCACCCATCTCAAGCGTGCACCACGTCGTCCCCACAATATACAACCCACATATGGACGAGAGTAGCAGTACCCCCGCAGATGCTGATCAACCGCAATTCTTCAGTGTATGAAAGGTACGAGACCACCTTCCCTCCGCTGGGATCAGGGAATTGGATAGGTATTTCACCGACATAGGCAATCATGGCCTCCGCATCATCCTTAAAGACGCGGACAAGCCTTTCCTCAAACGCGAAACCTTCAGTGTCTCCTGCCCGAGTGGCGCCCACGGTATTGTCTTCACCAGAGTTCGAGGTATTGGCCTGATTCTAGATGCAGGCGATTAGTATGATATTGGTAGAAGAGGAGGAGGTTATACTCACATACCAGTAGGCGTGGAAGAATGACCCAGTGAGGTTGTACATCCTCTCGAAAGGTACGGTGTATTGACCTTCTGTCACCGTAACTCCCGGATAGTAGCCTTCGGGACACTTGGGATCCTTGTCGGAGGCGGCAAATGCGACCTTGCATCCAAGAAGGATACCGGGGAGTAAGAAAAGCAGGCGGTGGAACATTGCTGGGACCGTTTTCAAAAGAGCAGAACGTTGATAGACTTATATACACTGCGCAGTGCCGGGACAAAGAGGCCGTCGAAAGAGAAGTGGAGAGGGACCGAAGGTTGTAAATATGATCCTTTTCGAGTCAGCTTCCGGCAGCGAATCCTGTTCTTGAGCGAGAAGGTCGGTCGTGATGCCGTAAGTCGTGAAGATTGCCAAGCACTAAAGAAGACGCAAGACGCGAGATATTCGGAGACAGAGAGGTCCAACTTTGCGGGGAAGCTGTGTTCAAATCACTGACGAATTGC